ACGCTTTCATCTTTCATAAAAAAAAAACCTGAAGTACTAATTAAAAAGCTTAGAACCGGCAAAGGTGTGTGAAAGGGGTAACACTTTTTACATGCTTTTCGAATGTTTTCACAGGACCTTTATCTCGTTGATTTTCCATCACCATAAATTTTTGTAGAAGAAGCGTGAAAACCGTATGTAGACTTAGCCTATAATTAACCATTTTAAGAGCGTCGGGGTACACAAAGATCATGCGTCTAGTTATCATTATTATGATTTTTATTACGATGATCATCATGGATTATCTTTATTATTATAATTAGTTTCTGGTACCGTTGCCGCTTTTCATACTTTCTTTTGTTCTCCTCAATGACTCTTTCGTCATTTTGTTATGATAGTCACATGGCCATATCCCACAAGCGCGGCTACATATGTAGGCATGCAAATACCTTCTTCTTTCACCCTATAACAGGATTTTCCAATATGCCTATCAAAGCCCATAAGAGCTAACCATTTACTTGCACCGAGTTCTATAAGTGAATGAGTTCTTTGAGTGAATAGTCGATAGAAGAAGCACCAAAAACTGTTGACCTACATCTAGCATTTTAATCTAGAAACAAGTCTGTCCCTTTTTCTGTATAAAATTTAAGACGTAATATTGAACTGCTTCTGTAATATTGTGGAATTCACCATTCCGTCCACAGTCCTTAAAATATTCATCACAGCAACTACCGAGAAAGAAAGTGGCGGAATAATAAAGGGAAAAATTCAGAGGATACTACAAAAAGGCTACGTTCACTTGAAGAAGGGAGATTCTGTTTACCTGCACAGGAATACAACATGTAACTGTCCACAGGTCCCCAAGGTAGACGCTTCTTTCTTAGTTGCCGGTCACGTGGACTCTGAACAGAACAAACTCTATTTGTTTCGTGATATGGGCGTGATTGTTCCATGGGAAAGAGCCTGGGTGGGAAAATTCAGAAAGTGGGAAAAGCGTCTAGCAGCCAAAGGTTCTGGACGAAAACAGAACAGGAAAAATAAAACTTTGGAAAGAAAAGGTAAGCGGCCTGAGTAAATTCCACCCTGGAATGTCCTTGTTCAATATTGGTAACCTCTCCTTTTCCAGGTTTTTAATTTTCCGATGGCCCGGTTGATTACCATTTCAAGATTTTACCTTCATTTAGAGTGATGCGACATAATGCCATCGGCAAACCAGGCAGAACAGGGCACGGCCCACTACTACAAGGAATTTAAGGGGGGGGGACTACTCTAAACAATTTTGGTGTGAAAAAAATTGTTAGCGTTGCATACAAATGCATGGCAAAAATGTTAAATTTTGTGAATATATCACAAATTATTACATCGTCACCGCACTTAGCGAAGTACAGTAATATGTTGTAGGACTTTTTTTTTAACGCTTGGCTTAGTAGGCGACTGCTCTTCCCCCCTCATTCACACGTTTCAAAACAGTTTGCCGCCCCTAGACATAGGCAATGTTAAAGATCCTTGAACATGGCTCAGGAGATTTCCTGGTCGATTTCATTGCGTACCGCGGGTATTTTTGGCACGTTTCTTTGAAGTACCAACGAATCTATTTCAGGGTAGCTGTAGGTGCACTTGAAAAAAAAATCATATTTTATTTTTAAGGAAAGGTTATGAGTTGGTTGTGCTGCCAATCAATTGCAGAAGCATCAGACGAATAGGATTAGTGTGAAACTAATTAAAAACTTACGATGAACTGACTCGACAGCGCCACGAATTATGACAATCTCAAAGGTTTTGTTCAAGAAACTATTGTAAACCGTTTTAAGTAGATTTCTCCTATACAAGCGAGAATTTTAACAAACGGACATTGCTGTCATATGTATGGGACTAAAACCCGCGATTTCTCTGATTTTTACTGGCATTTACTCTTAACTTTTGTTCAAGTGTTTTGCGGCTTTCCGTGTTGCCTAAACGTAAGGAAGGACCGCAGATTGCCATATGTTGTTTAGAATGATTAGGCAAATTAAAGTGTTTCAGTAGCGACTGGTTTGGATGCATCCTTGTCATTCTTTTCTACGTCGCGAAGGTGTTCTCGGAATCGGTCACCTAGTCGTCTTCCTGTTTCGCCGATTTGTAACTTTTTGCAATAAGTACAAGTTATACAATAGATTACGTTGGCGGAGGTGCACGTGAAGTGATCGGTGATGTTAATGGATCGCTTGAGTCCCGATATTTTCTCAGCGTTGTGAATGAAGGGACAAATTTTGTATCGTGAGCGAGCACATTTAAAAGTGCCGGGTTGGTCATTAGTTTGTCATGAACTTATGACCAAAAAACTGCCTATGTTTTTGTCGCGTTTGAATGAAATAAGTGGAGGTTGCGAAAAGATAGTGTCGGTCTCTGGATCGTTTTGAAGTAATTTCAAGTTTTTAAGAAAAATGGATTTAACTGTGTGGTTGTGAGGGTGAAATGTGAGAGTGAATGGAATGCGGTCGGAATCTTCCTTCTGTGACGATTGTAGTGCTGACTGTCGATCTATAAGTTGGGTGCGGTGGTGACCCACTTGAACGACAGAAACAGGGTGACCACTTTTTTTGAAAAACTGGCACATTGACTCTGATTTGCGGGAAAAATCAGAGTCATCACTACAAAGATGACGAAGTCTTAGAAACTGAGAAAAGGAATGGAATTCTTAACATGAGATGGATGCGAAGATGAATACAACAAGTAACTATGCGAGCCTGTGGGTTTGTAATACACACTAGTGGATAAGCCGTTGCCTTCAATTGAAACTTTGATATCTCATGACCTTGAGCCAAACTCGGTCAAAAAGTATTTTATCATATGACCATGAAGTGTTGAAAATTCCAGTCTAAGTAGAATGCAAAAGGCGGGCACACGCAGCCACTCGAGCACAAAAAATAGTTTTATACTGAAAGCTTTTCCTTAATTTCTTTTAAGTCAGAAAAACAAACTCCCCGTTCTTTGAAAACGCGACTTTTTTTCATATTTCTCTTTTATTTTAAGCTTTTACAATAAAGCGGCGGCTTTCTTCGAACTGGCTTACGTCAACCCGTTTGGCCCTGCACACGTCAGCTTTCATGTTTTTCTATTGGACTGCGCAAGCGGGGCCGGATGGGTCATATGATAAAATGTTGATCATGTTTACATGATGGGTGAGATGAGCATGTAAACGTCTCAAGGTATGGGTAACTCGCCAAGCCGGAGTCGCGTTCTTGTTACAAAGCTATAGCGAAACAGGTGAGTTAAAAAACTTCAAACGTTTCCTAGCCGTTCCATATAGATCTAAAACATTAAAACAACAACTTTTACGTCCTCCTAGCAATGATACCTTGATAGCAATTAATTCACGTCTTTGCCTTGAACTCAACACTACATTAACTTGTTAGGCCGAAGTGAGGAGGTCGTACCGTGAGAAATGGTTAGTGCGTCGAGCTACTGCCGAAAATGTTAGAGGACAAACAAATTCTGTTTTTTCGCCAACCTCTTACCGCACGTCGCTGTAGTGACCGAAATTGTATCGAAAAAATAAGACGGCGTAAAGGGCGCAAAAACAATTATTTAGAAAGTCAACCGGGTGCAGGCCCTCTAGTGATCTATAGAACGAACCCACGTGGGACAAACTCATCGAGTAGTTTGGTAAAGGACATGATCCCAGGACAAAGACACTATCGGGTTTAGCTTCCTCCTCTATTTCATCCTAGAACATAAATGATTATAGAACGCATCGTCTGATCGGATGCTTTATTAGGTTACATATATAGAGCCCGCATTTCATCGCTATGTCATAAAATTTGATAGTTATGTCAAAAAAGTAATAGAACACATGGCCTAAATCCCTTAGCTGTAACTTACGTCGTAAACGCCTCTCTCATCTTCATAAGTCCTACAATTGATAAGGGATAAAAATATTTACAAACAGCAAAGCATTTCGTCAGTTTTAAGTGAAATTTTGTGTTAACATAATACGATATCTGGTGCATTACTCTGACGCAGTACGCAAGCGGCAGCAAATTCTTACCTCTGTTTCCCAACAGCGCCTGAAAAAGAACAAAAGGGAAAAAGACAATTGATGTGGATCTGGGTCAAAAATTTTATTTTGTCTCTTGTTTAATAATAACTCCTAACATAGGTAATGAATGAGTTGTTACTTACCTTTCCTGTGTAGCCGGATTATGTAAATCACTAGAAGAAGGATTATGAAAGCTAGAACTCCAATTATGGCAAACAAGACGTTGTTAGATCGGCATTTACATTCTTCAGGACCTAAAATGATTCGTTTTATAAAGCTTAATGAAGGTACATTCATAAAATATTTAAATTGATCCTGGTTGACATATTGCTCTCATTACATGGGTTAAAGTTGTGACCGAGAAAACGTCAATTCTGATTTGGCTGGGTATTGGGGAAAACTAAGGCGCTACTTTACTACAGAAATTTTTTAAAACAATGTTTTGGTTAATTAAACAAAAAAAAAACAACGACAATAACAACCTAGAAATATATCACTCACGGAAATGAGTTGTTTGCTTAAAATGATCCACGAAATACAATTACAAAATGTCCGTTTTCCGAAGAGTGCTTGTACACAATTTCTTTGTAATATTTACCCTTCGCTGTGCTTTCCAAGCCGTCTGTGGGTATGAAAATTTGTTTAATTGAGTCCGGATCGACTTTAAAAACTCCGAAATTGTCTTGCCTTGCAGTATCTGATAGCAGGGTCAAAAGATGACTGACGGTTACACTTTGATTGAACCTCATCATGAAGTCGAGAACAACACTGCCACACCTAGATAAAGGGGAAGCGATGAGTACCGTTTAACAAATGGTAAACAACACAGCGTCCATTATTTAGTTGTGGATGCACGCGGGAGGTAGCTAAGCACGAAAGAAGCGTAAGAGTCGTGCGAAGCGATAGTCGGCGACTCTAGCTTCTTGAGTGCTTAGCAAACCTCACAAGTGCATCCTATAGCGGCCGCTTTGCTTGTGCAACGGGCCGCGTGAAAACCAAGGGTATGCGCCAATACGTCTAACAATCAAGTCCGGTGTTTATTTTTAACCACGGTCAATTACAACGTTAGTTTGAGATGATACTCACTAAACTATCCGGATGACTGTCCAAGACTGTCATGGAACATGCCTATGAAGGGATTTCAAGTGAAGCTTGACTAGCTCCTTAACGAAACCACAAAATACCCGTCCTAGCATAAAGGTTTTTTCTGTTTTTCTCCACGAGGGAGCTTATCTTAAGGTCCCGTATGAAAAACTAGGAATGACGGGATGCGTCACGTAACACAAAACGACTGGGAAGGCGTTACATATCTATAACTCAATATTGTACGCGGTGGTGTTTACCATTTGTTTTATAACATAACATTAACACATTGTAACAAGAATTCCCTTTTATTTAACAAATCCTACGTGATCAGAAAAAAACAAGCGCGCGCGCGGAAAAATAGTCTTAGCATTTGCTCACGTCAGCAGCATACGCCCATGGGCAAATAGTAGATGCTGAATTAACCGATCAGTGAGCGCGCTTTGCTATAGTTATGTTATAATACTTATTTGAACATCTCGTCCTTTGGTGACTCTAAGGTGTTGAAATATTTTGAAATATTTTTGATATTATAAACCAAGCTAAACATAAGTGATTTCATGTAATACTGTGTTAATCTATTGCTGTACGTTAAGCAAAATTTTCTTCAAATGTCGATTATTTGCATTCATTAAGACTTGTTAGAGGAATAAACCAGTTTAAACGATGGAATTTGCTAAATTAAGCTTCCCCCTCCAAGAACACAGATTTGCATCTGCTGTTGGTTCAGTGTAGAAAAAAAAGTGTTCCTTACCTGGTGTTCACAGTGTTGGCAGATGAGCAGCCAAACCGAAAGGCAATTTGACAAGCCTAGAAAGACACGTGAAGAAAACATATATATTTCAATGATTGTTACATTACTGAGGGACGTTATTAAAAATGTCATATCTCAGCAGAAATATTATGATTTCATTCAAGATAAAGAGTGATTAATTTTCACTTTTATGATAAATCTCTTTGCAGTATTCGATAAACTCCATTAACGGATCAATTATATATCTTACCATTTCTGGAAATTTCGCAGCAACTTCTTCACGTCTGCTACAGCTCTCCTCTATTGTCGCTGTAAGGTAAACGTCTGTGCTTTCTGAAGCTAAAGGAGAGCATGAAGAGCCTTGATGCACAAAAAGTACAGAAAAGCGGTTCGATCTAACAATAATTCACCTTGAGAAACTCATCCCCCCTCCTTGAAAAATAGTTTCGCAAAGCCACATTAATCACGTAATTTGTATTTGAAGATAGCAAGCATTTTATGCCTCAAATCTCATCAAATCCGGAAGGAGTCCTTAGAGAAATAGAGGGGATACTTTTTCTTTATGTTTTCGTTTTGTCTCTTTGTTTTGTCACTCCTTCCATTGTAGAGGGTAGAGAGCCTTTTGCTCATAAAGATCTTTTGAGTCGGAACATGACACCCTGCATACTTTGCATGATCTTATATGTTTCGTGTAAGATGAAAGGTAATTGGGAATAGAAATAACTTTGCAAACAGTTTTGAGGAGAGAGCTCCTCTCATTTTTGCGGTGAACTGTCTGTCCGTAAGTAAGTTGAATTAAGTTTCGTTGTTTCTCATGAAATGGTCAAAACTTCGTTACAAATTCGTTTGTTTACTTGCGTTTTAGAATTCTTTAACCAAAAGTTTGTAAAAATACGGAGTAAAAATACGGAGCAACAGAATGGTCGAACCGAACAATCCAACTTTGCTCCTTCTAAAGAAACGAACTTTAAAGCGCGACAGACACAGAGCCGAACTCTTAAATGGTTTCGTTCGTGTTGTTTTCGTTCTTCGCTCTCTCCCTATACGATCGATACGATGCACAGATAAGGCCCCAGGATGTCTTTCGCAAACCAAAATGAAAAACTTAAGAGGGAATAATAATGACATATTCGTTGTTTCAACCATTAACAAGCGGACATTTTGCTTATTGCTCATAATTTATATCAAAGCATCGAATAAGGTGTATATGTTCACGTATTAATCCGCGGTACTGATAAAGCTGAACTGGTTGTTATTAGTTTTGAACTTTGACATCAACCAAATCTTGATCAGGTTCAGATCGGTGATGAGTACATTGCCCCTACCTCGTCTTTACCCAACTTAAGAGTTGTCTTTGAAAACTCGCTATTGTATTGCTTTCCTAAATATCTAATTTGCTAATTAGGGTGTGTTTAGAATATAAGGCAGTTCGCATTGTTACCGTAACAAAGAAATATGATTCTTATATGAGAACGATCCTTCGCAGTAAAGCACTATTTGAGCAATAGTGAAAATCAGACCTGAAAAAAAATAGTGCTTTACTGCGAAGGATCGTTCTCATATACGTCTCATAACCGCAGTTCACACATATGTTTCATATGTTTGTTGTTGTTAAATATGATTCTATTATCCCAATAACGTTTCAGCTACACTATAGGTGCTCTCGAGTGCTGTTGCAAATTCTACAAATAAAGAAAGTATCGCGCAAATTTTGTTACGATTATGTTGATTATCAAGATTAACAGGCAGCTTGCACTAGCTTACTTAAATCAATCAGCATCTTACTTTTATTAAGTGTTCTGCCAAACTCAGAAGCATTTTTAGCGCTCTTCACAACTTAATTTTCTTTCTATTGCGTTTATGTCGAGGAAATCATGAATACAATAAGGAAAATTCAATTACAAAGAGCATTCATTTTCAATTTGAAGCCTCGCATTTCTTTTAAACTTTTTAAAGTCTGGGATTTGCCGTTATACACATGGATTCCTGCTCCTTATTTTCGTGGCTATGCCTATTTTCAAAAATACCGCCACATGTGCGGGCTTAACTCCATTGCACAACAAATGCTTGCTTCATAAGACAACCTGACCGAAATAAGCATCTGCACTCTTAACATATTAACGAGAGGTAAATCCAGGTACAACAGTCAATCCTTGTTACCCAACATCATAACTTTTGTCTTTAAGTAGAAAGCAATCTCCCAATTAAAATGTATAGATTAATCAGTTTTAAGCAAGCGTAAGAGTGTTTCAAAAGGCACGATATTCCTTGAATACCATTTTTAAGAGATTTCCTTTCTTAATGAGGCGTAAAGTTCTAAAGACATATTTTCATTTGTATTCACGAGTAAGAATGATAGAGCTATGCAGAGTTTTCCCTTTTAATATACGAAAAAAATCCTTGAAGCCATTTTGAAACAAGACATAACTGCTTCTTTGAAATCATATTTCTTTTTATGACTCAAGGGAGACAAACTTGTAAGAAGATGGGTGAGTTTTAGTATATGTTGACTTTAATGTACAGTATAAATACTCACATTGCACGTCAACACTTGCTGTCCTTGAAACATTTTTACAATTATTAGTGGCCTCACATCTGTATTCCCCGGCTTGACCTCTTGTAATGTTTGTAATCGTCAAGACATTTGTGGTAATGCGTTGACCATCAGGTTTGATCCAAAACACATCTAGTGGACGGTCTCCAGATGCCTGACATGTTAGAGTCACATCGTTCCCCTCGATTATTGTCTGATTGTCTATTTCTTGTATGGATGGAGGAACTAAGGATCCAGAACCAAAAATTATCATTTATTATGTAGTAGCTGGCAGCACCGTGGACAATATGAAGGAGATCCTGTGTTCTCAAGGGAATCCCGAGCGGGCAAGATAGTCGCATCATGCCGGCTCAGGATTGCTCGCTTTGATCCCACACAAAAAAAAAAAGTTATATGGAGCGGACTCAAAAAGTTCGTAACTTTTGAAGAATGTCGGTGATAAAGTCGCAAAAGGGGGCAGAAGACGGTCAAAATATAGAAAACACACTAAACGACCCTCATGGATTTATTCTGCTGTTAACACAGTTGGCTTTGTTTCCCGGCTCTGGGAATAAACAAGGCATTCTTGATTCTTATTAAAGCGAAACCTTTTTGCTCATTTATAAATCCTTCAATTACCTCGTTCACTTTTTTGCGTTTTCATCGACCTCAACTTTGTCTCGGTCCATAAAAACGCCAAAAAGAGAACTTGCCAATATCCAGCCATCTTGACCCTACACTTGGTCAATAACGCGTAAACTATTCATTAATGAGATTTTCTTTATATATATAAAACACATCTGGTACAAAACAAATGTGCCTAGTTTAGATAACTGCTATCTTGCACGGTAAGAGACTAACAAATACCATACTGGAAATAAAAGCTGTCTCATCGATGTGAAGGATAGCAGATCGTTTTCATACCTGTTCATTTCATACTACCGTAATAATACTCTTGATAATTGTTGGTCATTGGACACAGTACGACCACATTTTGAATATGCCCAGCCAATTTCCCAATTTGATCAGATGCCAAGTGTGAACCTTTCACCAAAACATTTTGGATGTTTTTATAAAAGTAATTCAAATGGAATGTTATTGATCATTGAATCATTTGCAAGATATAACTCATATCTCAAAGTGCTCTTCTTGCATGAATTTGCCAGATGAAACACTTTTTGAGAATCCCCCTATAAATCATAGCATGCACTACAAATACAGCTGTTTGCAGAAAGGTTGTCGGAAAAATGCGCACGACAATCTCGGGTGTTTGGTAATCAATGAATTTTAATCAGTGAAATAAAGAAATAAGAACCAAGGAACTGATGAACAGTGGACAAATACTGACATGCGCGTAAATACTAGACGAACAAAACAATAGAATATTACGTTGTAAACATTTTTCTTGGGGAAACAAAATTCATGAAACCCGCTGTGCCTCTTCGTTACAATGCTGTTTTCCTGGAAATCCTGAGATCAAGAAATTGGAACCACTAAAATAACAAGTTCTCAGTCGCAAATTCATTACATTTGCTTACTAAGCGCAATATATTGTGCTTCTCTTCTCAAGTGAAAGGCCACATCAAATAATCGACTCCAGGCGGTCAAGTAGGTTTTTTTATTTTGGATATATCAACAAAGTTGAAATGGCACATGACCTCTGCGGCTCCCATTCTTGTACACACTTGTTAAGGTATTACAGCTATACAAAGATAGATATTTGCTCAAAGAGTCTCTACAACTCAGCAATTTTCAATTCAGAGTTGACTGTTTAGAATGCCATTTCTTTCTCATCTTTTGTACAAAGTGGATACTGTCATTACTGCTCCTTTTTCTGAGTCTGCATTAATTTTGACGTACCAACACATTTTTGATGAGATAGGAATGTTTTTAAGAATTCCCCCGCACATAAGTTTCTGTATTTATTTTTTTTTTACGCGAAAGCTTTTGTAGTTTTTTTTACTGGCATTCTGCTATGCTCACGATCGAATCGTGTTCGCACATGGTACTCACCACTGTTGATATCCCCCTGACAACGATTAACAAACACCGCATGATGAGATCTGAATTCTTTTGCATATTTATTTCTTTTGCAACATCATTTTGTTTTGCACACAACGCTGATTCGTCACACTTTTGTTCTATGCATGGCGCTACTCTGTCCAAATTATACATCATCACATTCATCTGACACAGCGTTGTTTGGTACCAAACAAACATTCCTGCATAACAAAAAAGTGAATTTAATATTCGCACAAAAGCGACATAACTAATGGAACGAACAGAAAAATAACAGCGGATAATATACTCTGTTTGAGCAAAAACATAACAAATGTAAGCTTAATAATCACGATAAAGGTCACATAAATATAGCAATTACGTTTATCCTCAACCTGACGAAAGTCCGACACTGCATCTTTGTTGTCGTTTCCCAGAGTTTGATCCCAAGGCACCTTGTATTTATCAACAAATGTTCTCCTGTCACTCAGTCCACATTTTCTGTTCAGTGATAACTCATTTGATTTCTGGTTTGATCTAAAGAGAACTTCACTAAATCGTTTGATTCTCTTGCTATTTTAAGTTCACGAAACGACCGGTTCTAAATATACGCTCATTACACACGCCATCTTTTAGAGTGAGTCTACCGCGAACGGTGTGTGGGTCTGTATGTTTGAGCGTAGAAAAGATGACACAAATTGTTAACACATTCGACATATCCGCCATCTTTGAAGGGTGACGCTATATCGAAGGCGTTCGTCGAGGGTAAGAGTAAACAGTAATTTTGGTCAGCGGGCAAATTATGAAACCCGCGAGTACGAGTATTGCGAAATCCCGCGAAAGGATGACATTTAAAAACCGAAGACAATTTTTGACTAAGCCACTAGAATGCGTTATGATGGCGACGACTCAGTAAATATATGAAAATAATATATGTTTACTGCGCTTTCATAAAATGTATGAAAGCGTTCTTCGCAGTAATAAACCCTACTTATCTAGTAGGTGGAAATAAGGCCTGAAAAAATTTTAGGTCCGTACGGGATTTGAACCTATGACCTCTGCGATACCGGTGCAGTGCTCTACAAACTGAGCTAACAAGCCAACTGGGAGCAGGTCATTATGTTGGTTCGTATTAAACCTGAAAATCATATATGTGTACTGCGGTTTCATAAAATATACGAAAGCGTTCCTCGCNTCAACGTCTGCATAGTGTGCCATGATGACGATGGAGAAGATTGGCTGGGGTGCGACAGTTGTGGCCAGTACTTCCACGCATGTTGCATCAAAGTGGATTTCTCAGACTCTCTCCAAGTACTTTGTCTGCCCTTGCGGTTAATTTCACAACATCGTTGCGGATTAGTGACGTAAATTGATGGTGGAGAATATTCTTCCCAGTGTGGGGCTGGGTTAAGACTAAGCTAGGCTGTGTACAATCCCTGAAATTCCCGTTATTTCACGAATTATTTGACGCTTAAGTGTTAACAAGTTTTTCGCGTTAAGTAAGTGAAAAATTGACTCAAGGTGGCAAGGAGAATCTCCCTCAAAATTTACTCTTAAGCGTCGAAGTTACAGTCCAAAATTCAAACGTTACTGCTAGGTTTATTGGCGCATTGACAACCTTGTAAATAGCTCAAACATACTGAAAACATTTTCATTCGTTTTTGTATATCTTCATCCTTTGTTCAGTACGATTTTACACACTTCGGGTTTGAACTTTTCGTGGGGAACAAGAGCTACAGCTTACACGACGTATTTCAAGTTTAAACACTGTACTATGAACTTGTGTGTTCGACCCTCGACGAACGCCTTCGATATAGCGTCACCCATCTTTGAAAGCGTGGAAAAAAGGTTGGGCCTTTATTGTTACGTGTCTGCGGTATTCTCCATTGCACGTGGCGGAGTTTTGTGGAAAAACCCGATGGTAAACCTATAGTCGGTCGCCCGACTAAAAATGCAGTTTAAAATGTTCGCTCTAAGGCTGGTAAATTCCATCACTAATTAATTATGGTAGATTCACGTGAAGCCAGATTCAGTTAAGTAAAGATTTCAAAGGACACATGCATTTTTGGGGAAATGTTATATCCTGCCTTGACAAGGCAAAAGTAGTTTATTCTTGCGGGTAGAGTACATGCGTTCTAGCAATATGAAACGTTACTGAAACAGTAGGCAATTACGTTGTGTACATCCATAAAAAAAATAACAATGACAATTACAACAACTGATGGCAACTAAGAAGCATCACATTTGTTGATCCAAAATAGTCCAATAATGCCTCACGAGTCAATTGAACTTCTCGAAAATACATTGATTTCATAGCCTCTACGGTTATACCACTAAAAATGAAGAACTCCCTTCCTGTCACTTGTTATTAAAAAAATAAAAAACGCAAAGGAAAAGTGCTCGCAGTACCTTTGCAAGTATTAAAAAGCCAAAGAGTCGCGAATTACAATTGGTTTCCAAAAACAGGGAACCATTAGATTTAAATACGGGCAGTTTTTACAAATGACTCAGTTATAGCCTGATTTCGCATTTGGGCTGATCCCCAAACTGTAATAAACTTCGATAGTGATTCTGAGAGGTTATCATTTACATCTTTCACTTAACACTTTCTTAGTAGCTCTTGCAAACAAGTTTTCCTCTCCATTAAGTAAACAAACCCTAAAATAAGGCTCCATTTGAAATAGATTTTATAAATTAGCTACCACGGTGCTCATTTGCTAAGTTATTTTGATAACATAAACAGATTATGTTATCCTACACACCTCAGAACATGGAATAGTCACTCACCGTACACATGAACAGGAATCGTTCCACTACTTCCTGTTCCATACTTGTTGTTGGCCACACATTTGTAAATGAACACTCCCTTAGCTGACATGTTCCTGCTCCACATTCCTGAAGTGCTTTGTCCAATATAGCAATGCCATTCTCAAACAGCTGGTATGACGTCACAGGTGGATTAGCATCAGCTGCACAGTTAAGGCTTGTAACACCATTCTGACATGCTGTGTAGTGGGCAGCAGATGTTTTGAACTGGGTAATCTCTGGTTTGTCTGGGAGAGGAATATGAAAAGGTCACTATAACATTCATGAGAAAATAATTCATCGCCTTATATCCTGTTACTTAACAGCAACAGCAAAAAAAATATATTTCCGTCTAACTCCAAATCTACTATAATTCTAAGTTCGTTTAAACTATTTTAAGAGCATAATGAAAATGTATTCTTACAAAGTTAAACTGTTTATTTATTTAAATTCTGCATATTTTATCTTGCAAAGTGGCTATTTCTGATGTAGCTCAATCACCAAGTTAAGTGTGCATGTTTTCCAATTTCATAAACTTTATTAGGCAATAATGTCAACTGGTTATGTGTCACTCATGATGTATGATGCTCCATTGTGATATTGGTCCTCTTTTCTTTTGAAAATGATCAGGAAAAACTCATATCTGTTGTGCCTCTCATAGGATTTAAAGTAAATAAATGTTATAATTATGGTTAAGTTCAGTTTATAGCTCAAAACCAGATTTTCAAGAACCTTTCCAAAGACTTTTGAGGATGATAAATACACGTTCCTCCAAGGTTAAAAAAGAAAAAAAACAGTGACTTAGTCAAACAGCTTATTTAGACTTGAAGAAGAATTTCTGTCGGGTGATTTTAAACTTCATGCTTGGTTTTGACAGAATAATCTGATATAACTCAGTAAGAAGTTTAAAGTTAGTTTTCCCATATATAATTAGAAATGATCCAAGAAGTCTTTTTTCTCATAATTTTTTTTCGATGTGATTGTAAGTATTACATCAGGTACGATGTAGATAATCACATTTCAATTGTGTTCCTCAAATTTTCTAGTTTTTCCCCTAAAAAAGTAACACTAATTTGTTACTGTGAGTAATCACCACAAATGGGTTGGCATTTATAGTTTTCACTTAGCCTTCCTATAGGCACTTCCATAATCGCAGACATTACTTTCAGATTCAATTTTAAAACTCTAATCTGGCGACTGATCTGGGTATTGTTGGTTAGTTAGTTAGTTAGTTAAGCCCCTGGCTCCAGGTTGGAGCATGGGCCATCGACAGACTGCCGCCACTGACGCCTCTTTTCTGCCACCTGTTGCAGCTCCTTCCAGTTCTTCCCGAGGACCTTCATCTCTTTTTCCGTATCTCTCCTCCGGGTATTCTTGGGGCGGCCCCTCTTTCGTTTTCCCTGTGGATTCCAACTCAGGGCTTGCCTCGTAATGCTGTTTGAGGGTCTTCTCAGCGTGTGGCCTACCCACATCCATTTTCTCTTCCTCACTTGCTTGACCATCGGTATTTGACCTGTCCACTCCCAGAGCTCCTCGTTTGTGATCTTGTCTGTCCAATGTATCTTCAGGATTCGACGCAAACAATGATTGACATATGATTGTAACTTTCTTGCCGTTTTGACTGTCATCCTCCACGTCTCTGCCCCGTATAAAAGCACAGCGTTTACATTAGAGTTGAAGATTTTCAGCTTAGTTGATGTAGATATGCTGCCAGAGCTCCAGATCTTCTTAAGGGAGTGGAAGGCTCCTCTTGCTTTATTAATCCTGTTTGCAACGTCTGCTTCAGTTCCCCCACATGTGTCTACTACGCTCCCAAGGTATGTAAACGATTCTACCTCTTCGATATCGGCGTGATTCACTCTGATCTTCCTCCTTGAACCTGAGTTAATCTTCATGACTTTGGTCTTTGCGGTGTTGATAGCAAGGCCAGTTTTTCTTGACCTTTCTTCCATCTCCGATGTGATTGTAAGTATTACATCAGGTACGATAAAGATAATCACATTACAATTGTGTTGACACTAATTTGTTATTGTGAGTAATCACCACAAATGGGTTGGCATTTATAGTTTTCACTTAACCTTCCTATAGGCACTTCCATAATCGCAGACATTACTTTCAGACTCAATTTTAAAACTCCAATCTGACGACTGATCTGGGTATTGTACAGGACTTTAATTTTTCATTGATCAACATAGTATTGTCCACGTATGATGTGCGATCCTCGCAGTAGATAAAATATATGAACCTCATATATTCATTGCATCTCATAGTATTGTCCACTAGCATGTTCCGTGGATTACAATTGATATTTTCCATTGACTGATCTTTGTGAAATAAATGGTACAAAAGAACAGAATCGCAAACGTTAGATTGAAAATAAAAAATAAACATCAACCACATCCTGTGGAATGAAGTTGCTTAAAAATTTCTTTTCGAGTATGCAGTATGCTGGCCTTTGGTTTGAATTGCTCCAAGTTTCCAAAGTTTAGTGGCTGTATGGGCCTAAAAGCCGTCGTTGTCTCTGGATTATTTCAAATTGACATTCACATATTGAGAGCTACTTCCGACTATATTTTAACATCATGAGTCAATACAATGGATGTTGTTACGCTCTTAGAATGTTTGTCATGTATAGACCTGGAGGAAACTTAACTTTTTATATTTTGAAGCCTGTTGTAAGTTAACAACAAAAATTGAAAGACTACTAATATTTTGTTATTATGAAAGTGAAACGTACTGGTTAGTTTAGAAGGTATGGGGACATAAAAAAGATTTTACACCACTAACCATCAATAGCCAAATGTCAACTTCATGTCTCTTTCCTAGCTTATACAATTAATCAAAGGATATCTTTATGTTGCCATGGCATATGTACTTGCAAACTTGACTTTCTATAGTTACCTGCAGTGAAACATGTTTTGGCCTTAAAGAGCAGATGTTGAATATACGAAAGCTTTTTATCATGCATCTATACATTGATTGGAAATAAGGATTCTGAAACAATTCAAAGTTGTCTGTATGTCCATGACCACATTGATAGCCCCTTATAAAGTTCAAACTTCTTCCCAGTATCTCAAGGTCACAAAACTGTTCCTCACTTTGGGGACATTTTAAATTCCAAAAACTCTTCAAAGTCATCAGGAAACGTGAAGGCCAGTGAACTTGCTATAAGAGATATAACAATATTTATTCCATGACTCGGGCAGTCAGAGGGCCAATAACTAAAATCAACCAATCAAAATGCTCTATTGCGGTCAATATTCTCTCAGTATTGGACCGGGCACTCTCCCGAATGGTCCCGAATGATACCTCAATTGTGTCCCTTTGAACTTCAGTCGTATAATAAATCTCTTATTAACCAAGATTGCTCCGGACCGTACTAGAAGAATATCGGCCCTCGGTCTTTTTTTTACGGACCTTGCTGCGCTCGGTCCGTACTGTCAAGACCTCGGGCCGATATTCTCCCAGTACAGCCCTCGCGCTTAGTTAGTAAGATATATATTTTTAATGGCTACAAGACTGTTGTATGTGTTAAAATGTTTGTTAGCTAGGTGATCTAAGTTCATGGTTAGTGTAACATTGCACTCAAGTTTAGAGAGATCAGTTAATGTCTGTGATCTAACATCCAGAACAAAATTGTACTATTGATATTCCACAAACATTTCATTTTTCCAGACATTGCTTTTTCCTAAGTGTTTTAGTGGTTATCTGGTTGTATGGAAAAGTCTTTAAAACTCGTTTCTGGAAAAGAATTACATTGTTTGAATGTCACTGATCGTAAACACATTCTGTAACAACTACATTCTGTACAAGGCCTTCAACTTACGAATGTTTTTAACCCTTGAGGGCTCTGTAAATCTTTTCAAAAAAGATTTTCATAAATGAATTTGCAACAACTTTTATCACTCCCTGTATATTGGATAATTTTATCTATAACTCCAATGAGGAATTATTTTTGGTGATAAAGCGTTTTTTTTTTGTGATTATGAAAAAAACTAAGACCCACTTCAATTTGGGGATCTGTAAATTCCTTAAGGAGCCTATTTTTTCCTGTGTGCTTTAATTCAATCGCTAACAGTGTGGCAAAGCACATAATTTTAAATTCTGAATCGATTCTTTAAATCTAGGCTGTGGCACTTAAGAGCGATTGTTTTGCAAGACCGCGTGATTGGTGGCACATCGATCGAAAATTGATTATCCGCATATTTCAGTTAGAGATGCCTTATTGTGAACTTAAAAACTTAGTAAGGTTTTTATCCCCAGACTTGCTTCTATATCCTAGAAAAATCACGAAAACTGAAACCAGCGCCAGTAGCCGTAAAACTGCGGAAATCAGTGCCCCTAGTAGAGGCAAATCAACTTTGCTTGCGAGAAGCGCGAAAGAAAGCAAGCTCGTATCAATTTTACAAATTTGTTTCGGAGAGATTGAGGTATGGCTTAAGTCTAAAACGGGACCATTTCACTGAATTTTTAGCTCAGGGAACGCTTGTAAAAATCACCAATATTTCAAAATCCAAATATCGCATTTCCCAACAAATTTTCAATTATCCTTTTCCCCATGCGGTATAACTCAGAATCGGTTCAGGTTAAGCTCATGGTAAGTGGAAATAGTGTTGTTTTCGAGGATATAAAAATTAGTTTGGGGTTTTTCTTTTCCGCGCGGAAAAACCAGGCTGAACTTTGTGAAAATTGGAACATATTTCGTTAGCTAGCGGAGGGCGTCCGCTTTTCTTTGAGTATTCGAACACCTGTAAGTTTTTAACAAAGTTCTAGGGTAAACTTGAGCTTCATTGTCGACTTCAAAGAGGACAATTCAATCATCTATAACGGCAGGTCAAATATTCTTTGTTGAAGACGTTGACGCTGGAAAGCAATCTATGTAAAGATGTGACACACTCAAGCATTTGTCACGCATGGCTGAAATTATTTCAATCGTGTTTCCATCTTGTAATTTTACGGCCACGAATATCCATGAATAACGCTTTTTAGTATATACTAAAACAGTGGATAGCGTCGAAGGTGTGCTCTGATTGGCTAGTCAAACTCCGAATATCGTTTGCTATTTACCTCCGA